CCAAAAAGATGGAAATCGCTAGGGGCTATGTCAGAGCTGTGAGGTGAATGTTCCAGAAATTCCCACCGTAGATGGTTAATGTTCTCATAGCAACCGAGCCATATGCGACCTGGAATCTTCAGAAGGAGCAGTACTCCTCTAATCAGCATGCCCGGACGTTTTCTTCGAATTGCATCATGAAGTATTGAAACAACTTTATAGTATGAATCAGCATTTACATTGTCACCTTTTTTTTTTTTTTTAAAATTCATTTCAAGCTCTCCTTGACATTCCCAGAACACTGTCAGCATGACCCTTCCTGCAGATGGCGTAACCTTGAATTTTTGAATACAAAGCGAACAAGGATGTTTCCATTGAATTAAAGCCTGCTTTGATTAGGGCTCGTAGTAATTTGTTGCAGTAATAATCCTGTTAAGCATGTCTTCTCCTTCATCCTTATGAAGTTTCTTGCTTTGCAGGCAGCCCTATTGCCCCCCCCCCCCTTCCCTCCCCCCGTTCGCAAAGTAAAACAGCACATTACTCCGTTAGTACAGTCGCTATGTTGTGCGCATTCAACACCTATCGCCACCTAACAAAAGAAACATAAAACTCGATATTGCTGTCAACTAATGACACCTTTACAAACCACCAACTACATTTTCCTGCTATCCCATAACCATATGCTTAATTATTGACTTCTCCTCTCATGCAATATTTAGTATGCACTAAGTTGCATGGCTCTATGGTCTAATTTGTGGTTGAACAATATACTATACATACATGTCTCTGCAGTAGCGGCATTCAGCTGTCAACTTAATAAGTTACATGGCTGTATAACATAAGCTGTGGTTGAACAACGTCCCTGACACGTCAGTAGAATGTAGGAACAGACACGAGATAGTGTTGATCTTTGTCAATTGAGACGAGACAGAGAATTCTTAAAAGTTATGTAAATCATATATTGATATACGGATGTGAATCATGGACAGTTAGTAAATTATGAAAATTTATTTGGAATCTGCAGAGATGTGGTTTTATAGACGAATGATGAGAAAACTCTGATCAGGTGTCAAAGCCCAATGGGAAGGGTATGGATCAGAGTACAGACGATGAGACTTGTGACGTCATATGTTTGTGTTTGACGGCAGAGACGGCCGCCTGTTTTAACCAGAGTATTAAGACAGCATCAGTACCGCAGGACTGGGTGCACAGCTATTTGATCCCACTACCAAAACCTGTTAAAGATCATTCTAAGCTTAGTGGCTTTAGAATCATCACAATACAAAACACATTTGGGAAGGTCTTGGAGAAGATAGTTACTGTAAAACTACAAGAATTTTTGGAAAGGGGGAAGCTTCTCCCAACAGGTCTGGGAAGCTACAGGCCAGGAAAGGACACTTGGGCAAATGCAGCCACTTTTGCTTCTGACGTCTATGAAGGGTTCTAGAACAGACAGGAAACTATGGCGGTAGGACTGGATCTCGAGGATGCTTATAACAGAGTGAGATACGACATCTTAATGACTGCACTGAAGGAGAAGCAGGTCAGTCCATAGCTGGCGAATTTGTTTGCAGCTGTCCTGTATTCACGTCGGGTTGCTCTCTGACTGGGCTCATGGACCTCTGAACCATGCACTTTAGCCCCAGGACTGCCACAGGGATCCGCCATCTCGCCTGTGCTCTTCAAAGTGTATACGAGCAAGATTGCAAGCCTAGAAGCACCAAGAGTTGGAGGGATACTGACTTTTGCGGATGATATACTTGCATTTGGGCAGGGGGAAGAGAGGGAACAAACAGCCCGGGAGCTACAAGCGACAGTAGACAAAGTGACTGAGGGGTGTACAGCAATGAGGGCTGTCGTCCACCCGGAAAAGGCGTCTGTTTTGTGGTGTTCTCTGGACAACAGAATCGTTAAAACTAATGTCCCAAGTCTCACGAAAGATGGTAGAAACGTCAACAGAGACAGAGAGAGCAAACTGAAGTATCTGGGAATTTTTCCAGGAGCCTGTCATTTAAGGACCATGTGGAGAGTGTTGTGACGAGCTGCCAAAATGGACTTAGTGTACTTAAGACTATGGCTGCAATTGACATAGAGCAGAGAATGCTTTTCACACTATATCAGCACCTGATCCTGTCAGTGGTGGATTATGGCCTGGGACTGCTTACCGTCTCAAAAAGTCAGATGGACAAACTAGAGCGCATACAGAACGCGGCTATGCGGGTCATTCTGGGTTGCACCAGAGAGACCCCAGTGGTGTGTATGCGATACATCCTTGGTTTGCCGACGGTTGCAGGTAGGCACAAACTGCTGCAGGCGAAGTCATATATCAGGGTAGCTGCAGACGCAGACCACCCTTTGCATGACGCTCTGGATGCAGTTAAGGGTCAGCGGCTGATAAGAGGGAGGTCATGGATGGCTCAGGCAAAAGACACAATCAGACAGGTTTGCATCCTTGAGAACATTAGGCGAGGAGATGAGTGGATCAACGTGCCACCTAAACAGTAAGACTTGTGTAGAGTCATAATCACGCTGAGCCGGGAATGCAGAGATTGGCCAGCAGGTGCCACAGAGGTGGAAATTCAGCAATTAATTCAAGATAATGCTCGCTCAGAGGATTTGATCATTTACACAGACGGTTCAGTGTCAAGAGGCAAAAGAAGTGCTTGGGGTTTCTTAGCAAAAGTTAATGGTCGACGTTTGGTGCATGAGAGCCTAGCATATGATACCACAATATCCAGCTTAAGAATGGAGGTGGAAGCGGTCACTGCAGCTTTCCGCTGGCTAGAGAACACCACACACATACACACACACACACACACACACACACACATCGTGATTGTAACTGATTCAGAAAGCATGCTGAGGAAGATCAGAACAGGCATGCTTCGTGCAGAGTGGCATGCTTCACTGCGGAGGACACGAGTGAGGAGTATTGTCTGGATATTTTCAGCGGGTCACGCCCGTGTGTTGGGAAATGAACAGGCGGACAGACTGGCTGGCTCTGCACAACTTGGTGGAATAATGATACATGATAGGGCAGACGTGGTAAGTGCCTTGTGGGAGAGCGTGTACACTTCGGAGGAGCAGATGGATCACCACAGTCTGGTGAGATTGATGCAGTTGGGGGTGACGAGAGGTCCTGGCAGATACTCGAGGCTCAGAGGAAAGGCAAGACGGACGTTTAATCAGAACTCTACTGGCACCATTAGTATCGGAACTCTTCGCTGGCTGCTGAAAATGGGCACGGAGCGCTTATGGGAATATCCCGAGTGCTGTGATCTCGGTTCCTGAATCAAATCAAATCAAATCATGTTTGACGGACCAAAAGATGCACCAGCGGTCAGCCAGCTGAATAGACGATATGGGGAAACCCCAAGATGGCTTGAACACTGGTAGTACACACACCTTCGACCCGAAGCTGAACGGGAAGAGGAGAATGGTTAGACAGGGACGTGTGAGGCTGAAGACATAGAGAGACGTTCTAGATTGTTTTGTGTTAGGAGTCGAAAGATAGGGACTGTTTGCGTGTCGTAATGTGTTTTGGTTAGCTGTTAGTAGTTCTAGTGGAAAGTAATAAGTAAAGATCCCTTTTCACGCCTTTAGACGCATCGGGCACATGGGAAGAGCGCCCATATTGTTTCAGACCATCTGCACTAGGTGGGTAATGTGGTCAGCATTACGCCGGCCGTCTTTACTTCCTCAGGGCAGCCATTCTGGTACCCATTTTAAGCTGGGTCGACCTACGACGCCCCGTACCACAATAAAAATCCACTCAGCCAGCACTGGATTTCGATCGCGGTACGTTGGAATTACGAGTCGGAGTGGCAACGCCTATGCCACAGACGCCGCAATGTGTTGCTTATCCTTTACAGGACACGTTGCAGAACCATCCCCAGCACTTTCTGGCTTTTGTGGTTTTTCTTGGCAAATTTACGTCCAGTAGTTTGCTATTGTCCTGAACGGTCGGCTCTCGGTACCACAGTCGAAACCATCGCAAGAAAAACCCTCCGCAGTAGGGTCGAACTCGGCACCCCGACATTACGAAGCGCGTTCGCAACGCCTAAGGCACAGACGCTGACAGTTCCAGTGTAGTATGTAGTATTCTAGGAACAATCGTGAAGGTGTTGTGTCATGCGTAAGTAGTTGTTCAGGTCATTAAAGTTAAGCTGTGCTTGGTGGTGGCGACTTTTGCCTATCCTGGCACATCCAGCCACCCACGTTAGGAACGCCTCATGAATCCCCGTGCAGGGCCCAATGGTAGCGTAGAAAGGTTGCGTGAGTTTCTACCTACATTGTTCATCCATGGGAACGTGAATAGGTGAGAGTGGTGAATTGTAAAGCTCTCCCAGCCCTAGTTTTTCCCAGAGTTGATGGAAAGTTCCCGAGATAGACGGCTGTGGATACTCATGACTACCAACGCCTCACGGCGCGGTCCATAAGACATACAATTATGATAATTGTATATGTTTTTAGATGCTATATGTTAAGTATGTGCGTTTTGAAGATGCTATATGTTGAATACATGTGATTTGTACATGCTATATGTTGAATGTATGTGTTTTGTGCTGCTATATGTTAAGTATATGTGTTTTAGATGCTTTATGTTACCTATATGTATTTTGTAGATCGTATATGTTGAATATATGTTTTTTTTTTTTTGTAGATGCTTTATGTTGAATAAATGTGTTTTATAGATGCTTATGTTGTATATATGTGAAGATACAGTATGTTGAATATACGTGTTTTATAGATGCTACATGTTGAATGTATGTGTTTTATAGATGCTTTATGTTGCGTATATGTGTTTTGTAGATGCTATATGTTGTATATATTTGTAGATGCTATAGGTTAAATATATGTGTTTTATAAATTCTATATGTGGAATATATGTGTTTTATAGATGATATATGTTGAATATATGTGTTTTGTAGATGCTATATGTTGAATGTATGTTTACGTGACATTGTGTCTGTGGTTTGCCTTAGTTGACTGTGATCCTGTGTCTGGTGTGTAGGCACGAGATGACGTCAACCGACCAGGTGGCGCCGGAGACGGCCATCCTGGCAGAGTTTACCAAGTTTGAGCACGTGACCGTCGGGGTTCTTTACCTGCTGGCCTGTAAGTTCTCTGTTGTCTTTCTTTACACACACACACACACACACACACACACACATGAACGCACACACACGCACTCACACAATCACACGCACACACGAGCACGCGCACTCCGCCATCCCACACACACACTCACAAACTCTTTCCAGTACACATACGCTCTCACACATTCCCACACACTCGCATACTTATTCTCTGACGCACACATTCTCTGTCTCCCTCACACACATATACTGTCTCATACACATACTGTCTCATACACATACTGTCTCATACACATAACACTTGCCCTGTCATTGCTATGCTCACACATACTGTCTCATACACATAACACTTGCCCTGTCATTGCTATGCTCACACATACTGTCTCATACACATAACACTTGCCCTATCATTGCTATGCTCACACATACTGTCTCATACACATAACACTTGCCCTGTCATTGCTATGCTCACACATACTGTCTCATACACATAACACTTGCCCTGTCATTGCTATGCTCACATATACTGTCTCATTCACATAACTCTTGCCCTGTCATTGCTATGCTCACATATACTGTCTCATACACATAACACTTGCCCTGTCATTGCTATGCTCACACATACTGTCTCATACACATAACACTTGCCCTGTCATTGCTATGCTAACACATACTGTCTCATACACATAACACTTGCCCTGTCATTGCTATGCTCACACATACTGTCTCATACACATAACACTTTCCCTGTCATTGCTATGCTCACACATACTGTCTCATACACAAAACACTTGCCCTGTCATTGCTATGCTCACACATACTGTCTCATACACGTAACACTTGCCCTGTCATTGCTATGCTCACACATACTGTCTCATACACATAACACTTTCCCTGTCCTTGCTATGCTCACACATACTGTCTCATACACAAAACACTTGCCTTGTCATTGCTATGCTCACACATACTGTCTCATACACGTAACACTTGCCCTGTCATTGCTATGCTCACACATACTGTCTCATACACAAAACACTTGCCCTGTCATTGCTATGCTCACACATACTGTCTCATACACAAAACACTTGCCCTGTCATTGCTATGCTCACACATACTGTCTCATACACGTAACACTTGCCCTGTCATTGCTATGCTCACACATACTGTCTCATACACGTAACACTTGTCCTGTCATTGCTATGCTCACACATACTGTCTCATACACAAAACACTTGCCCTGTCATTGCTATGCTCACATATACTGTCTCATACACATAACACTTGCCCTGTCATTGCTATGCTCACATATACTGTCTCATACACAAAACACTTGCCCTGTCATTGCTATGCTCACATATACTGTCTCATACACGTAACACTTGCCCTGTCATTGCTATGCTCACATATACTGTCTCATACACGTAACACTTGCCCTGTCATTGCTATGCTCACATATACTGTCTCATACACATAACACTTGCCCTGTCATTGCTATGCTCACACATACTGTCTCATACACATAACACTTGCCCTGTCATTGCTATGCTCACACATACTGTCTCATACACATAACACTTTCCTTGTCATTGCTATGCTAACACATACTGTCTCATACTCAAAACACTTGCCCTGTCATTGCTATGCTCACATATACTGTCTCATACAGGTAACACTTGCCCTGTAATTGCTATGCTCACATATTCTGTCTCATACACATAACACTTGCCCTGTCATTGCTATGCTCACATATACTGTCTCATACACATAACACTTGCCCTGTCATTGCTATGCTCACATATACTGTCTCATACACATAACACTTGCCCTGTCATTGCTATGCTCACATATACTGTCTCATACACATAACACTTGCCCTGTCATTGCTATGCTCACACATACTGTCTCATACACATAACACTTGCCCTGTCATTGCTATGCTCACATATACTGTCTCATACACGTAACACTTGCCCTGTCATTGCTATGCTCACACATACTGTCTCATACACATAACACTTGCCCTGTCATTGCTATGCTCACACATACTGTCTCATACACATAACACTTGCCCTGTCATTGCTATGCTCACACATACTGTCTCATACACATAACACTTGCCCTGTCATTGCTATGCTCACACATACAAAAATGTCGACTCACGGAACATCTTATACACCAAGATGCTTATGCGCAGGCGTGTTTTGTGTGTGTGTGTGTGTGTGTGTGTGTGCGCGCGCGAGCGAGCATTCGTGTAAACATATCTGAATGTTCAAATGGAAGATGTATGTGTATATGCGTATGAACGATATGCGTATTCTCATAGCAGATATATATGTTAAGTGACAGGTGTGTGTGTATGTAGGTGTGTGTTTGTATAGCAGGTATATTTGTTCAATTACAAGTGTGTATGTGTGTGTAGGTTGTATTGGTGTAACTATGTCAGGTGTATTTATTCAGTCAAAGGTGTGATCACTTGTTATACACAAATAACAATAACAGATGTGCAATTGTGTGTGTTCAGTGACAAGAGTGTCCGTGACAGGTGTATCCGCGACTTTTGCGTCAACGACAGGTGTGTCAACTACAGGTGTGTCAACGTCAGGTGTGTCGACGACAGGTGTGTCAACGACATGTGTGTCAACGACAGGTGTGTCGACAAAAGATGTGTCAACGACAAGTGTGTCAAAGATAAGTGTGTCAACGACAAGTGTGTCAACGACAAGTGTGTCAACGACAAGTGTATCAACGACAAGTGTGTCAACGACATGTGTGTCAACTGCAAGTGTGTCAACGACAAGTGTGTCAACGACAAGTGTGTCAACGACATGTGTGTCAACGACATGTGTGTCAACGACATGTGTGTCAACGACATGTGTGTCAGCGACATGTGTGTCAACGACAGGTGTGTCAACGACATGTGTGTCAACGGCAAGTGTGTCAACGACAAGTGTGTCAACGACAAGTGTGTCAACGACAAGTGTGTCAACGACATGTGTGTCAACGACATGTGTGTCAACGACATGTGTGTCAGCGACATGTGTGTCAACGACAGGTGTGTCAACGACATGTGTGTCAACGACAGGTGTGTCAACGACATGTGTGTCAACGACAAGTGTGTCAACGACATGTGTGTCAACGACAAGTGTGTCAACGACATGTGTGTCAACGACAGGTGTGTCAACGACAAGTGTGTCGACGACAGAGGTGTCAACGACAGGTGTGTCAACGACAAGTATGTCAACGTCAGATGTGTCGACGACAGGTGTGTCAAAGATATTTGTATCTTCGACTCGTGTGTCAACGTCAGGTGTGTCGACGACAGGTGTGTCAACGAAAATTGTGTCCCTGATAGGTGTGACAACGACAAGTGTGTCAACGACAGGTGTGTCAACGACATGTGTGTCAACGACATGTGTGTCAACGAAATGTATGTCAACGACATGTGTGCCAACGACAGCTAGGGTCAACGACAGGTGTGTCAACGACAGGTGTGTCAACGACAGGCGTGTCAACGACATGAGGTCAACGACAGGTGTATCAACGACATTTGTGTCTTCGACTGGTTTGTCAACGACATGTGTGTCCCTTATAGGTGTGTCAACGAGAGGTGTGACAACGACAGGTGTGTCAACGACAGGTGTGTCAACGGCAGGTGTGTCAACGACAGGTGTGTCAACGACATGTGTGTGAACGACAGGTGTGTCAACGACAGGTGTGTCAACGACAGGTGTGTCAACGACAGGTGTGTCAACGACAGGTGTGTGAACGACATGTGTGCTAACGACAGGTGTGACAACGACAGCTGTGTCAACGACAGGTGTGTCACCGGCAACGACATGTGTGCTAACGACAGATGTGACAACGACAGCTGTGTCAACGACAGGTGTGTCAACGGCAAGTGTGTCAACGACAGGTGTGTCAGCGACAGGTGTGTCAACGACAAGTGTGTCAAAGAATGGTGTGTCAACGACAGGTGTGTCAACGACAGGTGTATCATCGACAGGTGTGTCAACGATAGGTGTATCAACGATAGCCGTGTCAACGACAGGTGTGTTATCGACATGTGTGTCAACGACAGGTGTGTTATCGACATGTGTGTCAACGACAGATGTGTCAACGACATGTGTATCAACGACAGGTGTGTTATCGACATGTGTGTCAACGACATGTGTGTCAACGACATGTGTGTCAGCGACATGTGTGTCAACGACAGGTGTGTCAACGACATGTGTGTCAACGACAGGTGTGTCAACGACATGTGTGTCAACGACAGGTGTGTCAACGACATGTGTGTCAACGACAAGTGTGTCAACGACAGGTGTGTCAACGACATGTGTGTCAACGACATGTGTGTCAACGACATGTGTGTCAACGACAGGTGTGTCAACGACAAGTGTGTCGACGACAGAGGTGTCAACGACAGGTGTGTCAACGACAAGTATGTCAACGTCAGATGTGTCGACGACAGGTGTGTCAAAGATATTTGTATCTTCGACTCGTGTGTCAACGTCAGGTGTGTCGACGACAGGTGTGTCAACGAAAATTGTGTCCCTGATAGGTGTGACAACGACAAGTGTGTCAACGACAGGTGTGTCAACGACATGTGTGTCAACGACATGTGTGTTAACGAAATGTATGTCAACGACATGTGTGCCAACGACAGCTAGGGTCAACGACAGGTGTGTCAACGACAGGTGTGTCAACGACAGGCGTGTCAACGACATGAGGTCAACGACAGGTGTATCAACGACATTTGTGTCTTCGACTGGTTTGTCAACGACATGTGTGTCCCTTATAGGTGTGTCAACGAGAGGTGTGACAACGACAGGTGTGTCAACGACAGGTGTGTCAACGGCAGGTGTGTCAACGACAGGTGTGTCAACGACATGTGTGTGAGCGACAGGTGTGTCAACGACAGGTGTGTCAACGACAGGTGTGTCAACGACAGGTGTGTCAACGACAGGTGTGTGAACGACATGTGTGCTAACGACAGGTGTGACAACGACAGCTGTGTCAACGACAGGTGTGTCACAGGCAACGACATGTGTGCTAACGACAGATGTGACAACGACAGCTGTGTCAACGACAGGTGTGTCAACGGCAAGTGTGTCAACGACAGGTGTGTCAGCGACAGGTGTGTCAACGACAGGTGTGTCAAAGAATGGTGTGTCAACGACAGGTGTGTCAACGACAGGTGTATCATCGACAGGTGTGTCAACGATAGGTGTATCAACGATAGCCGTGTCAACGACAGGTGTGTTATCGACATGTGTGTCAACGACAGGTGTGTTATCGACATGTGTGTCAACGACAGATGTGTCAACGACATGTGTATCAACGACAGGTGTGTTATCGACATGTGTGTCAACGACAGGTGTGTTATCGACATGTGTGTCAACGACAGGTGTGTCAACGACATGTGTATCAACGACAGGTGTGTTATCGACAGGTGTGTCAATGACAGATGTGTCAACGACATGTGTGCCAACGAAATGTGTCAACAACAGGTGTGTCAATGACAGGTGTGTCAACGACAGGTGTATTAACGACAGTTGTGTTTTTGATTACCCAGGTGTGGTAGGTTTGACCAGCAACCTCCTGACAGCCTGGACCTTCTACAAAGAGAGCCGACTGTTGAGTATCAGCAAGCCCTGGCTGCACATCCTCCTGTCGCTGGCCAACATCGGGGTAGTGGCTGCCTCACCCTTCCCAGCATCCTCCAGCTTCAGTGGCAGGTGGGTGCCAGCTTCTGACATCTTTGTATTTGAGATAACCCCCACACATGACATGAGATAACCCCCACACATGACATGAGATAACCCCCACACACGACATGAGATAACCCCCACACATGACATGAGATAACCCCCACACATGACATGGGATAAGCCTGACACATGACATGAGATAGCCCCCACACATGACATGGGATAACCCCCACACATGACATGGGATAACCCCCACACATGACATGAGATAACCCCCACACATGACATGAGATAACCCCCACACATGACATGGGATAACCCCCACAAATGACATGGGATAGCCCCCACACATGACATGAGATAACCCCCACACATGACATGAGATAACCCCCACACGTGACATGGGATAACCCCCACAAATGACATTGGATAACCCCCACACATGACATGAGATAACCCTCATACATGACATGAGATAACCCCCATACATGGCATGAGATAACCGTCATACATGACATGAGATAACCCCCACACATGACATCAGATAACCCCCATACATGACATGAGATAACCCTATACATGACATGATATAACCCCCACACATGACATGGGATAACTCCCACATATGACATGAGTTAACTCCCATACATGACATGAGATAACTCCCATACATGACATGAGATAACCCCATACATGGCATATGCTAACCCTCATACATGACATGAGATAACCCCCATACATGGCTTGAGATAACACCCACACATGACATGAGATAACCCCCATACATGACATGAGATAACTCGCATACAAGAACGAGATAACCCCATACATGACATGATATAACCCCCACACATGACATGAGATAACCCCCATACATGGCATGAGATAACCCCCATACATGACATGAGATAACACCCATACATGACATGAGATAACCCCCATACATAGCATGAGATAACCCCCATACATGACATGAGATAACCCCCATACATGGCATGAGATAACCCCCATACATGACATGAGATAACCCCCATACATGACATGAGATAACCCCCATACATGACATGAGATAACCCCCATACATGACATGAGATAACCCCCATACATGACATGAGATAACACCCATACATGACATGATATAACCCCTATACATGACATGAGATAACCCCCATACACGACATTAGATAACCCCCATACATGACATGAGATAACCCCCATACATGACATGAGATAACACCCATACATGACATGATATAACCCCTATACATGACATGAGGTAACCCCCATACATGACATTAGATAACCCCCATACATGACATGAGATAACCCCCATACATGACATGAGATAACACCCATACATGACATGATATAACCCCCATACATGACATGAGATAACCCTCATACATGACATGAGATAACACCCATACATGACATGATATAACCCCCATACATGACATGAGATAACCCTCATACATGACATGAGATAACCCTCATACATGACATGAGATAACCCTCATACATGACATGAGATAACCCTCATACATGACATGAGATAACCCCCATACATGACATGAGATAACCCTCATACATGACATGATATAACCCCCATACATGACATGAGATAACCCCCATACATGACATGAGATAACCCCCATACATGACATGAGATAAAACTCATACATGACATGAGATAACCCTCATACATGACATGAGATAACCCTCATACATGACATGAGATAACACCCATACATGACATGAGATAACCCCCATACATGACATGAGATAACACCCATACATGACATGATATAACCCCCATACATGACATGAGATAACCCTCATACATGACATGAGATAACACCCATACATGACATGATATAACCCCTATACATGACATGAGATAACACCCATACATGACATGAGATAACCCCCATACATGACATGATATAACCCCCATACATGACATGAGATAACCCCCATACATGACATGAGATAACACCCATACATGACATGAGATAACCCCCATACATGACATGAGATAACCCCCATACATGACATGAGATAACCCCCATACATGACATGAGATAACCCCCATACATGACATGAGATAACCCCCATACATGACATGAGATAACCCCATACATGACATGATATAACCCCCACACATGACATGAGATAACCCCCACACATGACATGAGATAACCCCCATACATGACATGAGATAACCCCCATACATGACATGAGATAACCCCCATACATGACATGAGATAACCCCCATACATGACATGAGATAACCCCCATACATGACATTAGATAACCCCCATACATGACATGAGATAACCCCCATACATGGCATGAGATAACCCCCATACATGACATGAGATAACCCCCATACACGACATGAGATAACCCCCATACATGACATAATAACCCCCATACACGACATGAGATAACCCCCAACATGACATGAGATAACCCCCCATACATGACATGAGATAACCCCCATACATGACATGAGATAACCCCCCATACATGACATGAGATAACCCCCATACATGACATGAGATAACCCCCATACATGACATGAGATAACCCCCATACATGACATGAGATAACCCCCATACATGACATGAGATAACCCCCATACATGACATGAGATAACCCCCATACATGACATGAGATAACCCCCATACATGACATGAGATAACCCCCATACATGACATGAGATAACCCCCATACATGACATGAGATAACCCCCCATACATGGCATGAGATAACCCCCATACATGACATGAGATAACCCCCCATACACGACATGAGATAACCCCCATACATGACATGAGATAACCCCCATACACGACATGAGATAACCCCCATACACGACATGAGATAACCCCCATACACGACATGAGATAACACCCATACACGACATGAGATAACCCCCATACACGACATGAGATAACCCCCATACACGACATGAGATAACCCCCATACACGACATGAGATAACCCCCATACACGACATGAGATAACCCCCATACATGACATGAGATAACCCCCATACATGGCATGAGATAACCCCCATACATGACATGAGATAACCCCCATACATGGCATGAGATAACCCCCATACATGACATGAGATAACCCCCATACATGACATGAGATAACCCCCATACATGACATGAGATAACCCCCATACATGACATGAGATAACCCCCACACATGACATGAGATAACCCCCATACATGACATGAGATAACCCCCATACATGACATAGATAACCCCCCATACATGACATGAGATAACCCCCATACATGACATGAGATAACCCCCATACATGACATGAGATAACCCCCATACATGACATGAGATAACCCCCATACATGACATGAGATAACCCCCATACATGACATGAGATAACCCCCATACATGGCATGAGATAACCCCCATACATGACATGAGATAACCCCCATACACGACATGAGATAACCCCCATACATGACATGAGATAACCCCCATACACGACATGAGATAACCCCCATACACGACATGAGATAATCCCCATACATGACATGAGATAACCCCATAAATGACATGATATAACCCCCATACATGGCATGAGATAACCCCCATACATGACATTAGATAACCCCATACATGACATGAGATAAACCCCATACATGGCATGAGATAACCCCATACATGACATTAGATAACCCCCATACATGACATGAGATAACACCCCATACATGACATGAGATAACCCCCATACATGACATGAGATAACCCCCATACATGACATGAGATAACACCCATACATGACATGAGATATGATGATAAACCCCCATACATGACATGAGATAACCCCCATACATGACATGAGATAACCCCCCATACATGACATGAGATAACCCCCATACATACATGAGATAACACCCCATACATGACATGAGATAACCCCCATACACGACATGAGATAACCCCCATACATGACATGAGATAACCCCCATACATGACATGAGATAACCCCCATACATGACATGAGATAACCCCCATACATGACATGAGATAACCCCCATACATGACATGAGATAACCCCACACATGACCTATACCATGACATAGCATGAGATAAACCCCCATACATGACATGAGATAACCACCATACATGACATGAGATAACCCCCACCACATGACATGAGAACCACCCACCACACATGGCACATGATGAAACACCCACACATGACATGAGATAACCACCACACATGACATCAGATAACCCCCACACATGGCATGAGATAACAACCATACATGGCATGAGATAACCCGCATACATGACATTAGATAACCCCCATACACGACATGAGATAACCCCCATACATGGCATGAGATAACACCCATACACGACATTAGATAACCCCCATACATGGCATGAGATAACACCCATACACGACATGAGATAACCACCATACATGACATGAGATAAGATAACCACCACACATGACATCAGATAACCAACCATACATGACATCAGATAACCCCATACATGGCATCAGATAACCACCACACATGACATGAGATAAACACCCACAATGACATCAGATAACCCATACATGGCATCAGATACACACCACACATGGGATCAGATAACCCTACACATGACATTAGATAACACCATACATGACATTAGATAACACCATACATGACATCAGATAACCACCACATATGGCACATGATATAACATGATGAGATCCCCCTAACCACACACATGGATGAGATAACAACCATACATGACATGAGATAACCCCACACATGGCATCAGATAACCACCACACATGGGATCAGATAACCACCACACATGGCATCAGATAACACCACACATGGCATCAGATAACAACCACACATGGGATCAGATAACCACCACACATGGCATCAGATAACCACCACACATGGCATCAGATAACAACCACACATGGCATCAGATAACAACCACACATGGCATCAGATAACAACCACACATGGGATCAGATAACCACCACACATGGCATCAGATAACCACCACACATGGCATCAGATAACAACCACACATGGCATCAGATAACCACCACACATGGGATCAGATAACCACCACACATGCAGGAGATAACCCCACACATGACATGAGATAACCACCAGATACATGTGATCAGATAACCACCACACATGTTCTCTGATAAACCCACCACACATGTATGAGATAAACAACCACACATGGCATGAGATAAACAACCACACATGGCACCATTGTGTTTTGATTTTGCCACCACAAATGCTGCATCAGATAAACACCACACATGACCTCAGATAACCACCACACATGGCATCAGATAAACACCACACATGGGATCAGATAACAACCACACATGGGATCAGATAACCACCACACATGGCATCAGATAACCACCACACACATGATCAGATCACCACTAAACAATGGGATCAGATAACCACCACACATGATCAGATAAACACCATACATTGACATGAGATAAACCACCATACATTGAATACACCATACATGACAACCAGACATGAGATAACACACAACCTATACATGACACAGAGATTGCTCCCACACATGACACAAGATAATTCGTTACACATGAGCACACCATAACATTAAACATGACCATGACATTGACAGCTGAGATGTTCTCCCTTGTGACGCAAGTATTTGACCATGACGCCGCTAACACCTTGACATTGTCAGATAAACACATTGTACACAGCACATGACCTGAAATAAACACACCCTTACCCCATGACCTGAGATAAACACCACACCAGACCTGAGTATAGCACACGAGATAAAACCCTAACATGACCTGAGATAAACACCACACATGACCTGAGATAAACACCATACATGACCTGAGATAAACACCATACATGACCTGAGATAAACACTATACATGACCTGAGATAAACAGTACATGACCAGATAAACACCACACATGACCTGAGATAAACACCATACATGACCTGAGATAAACACCATACATGACCTGAGATAAACACCATACATGACCTGAGATAAACACCATACATGACCTGAGATAAACACCATACATGACCTGAGATAAACACCATACATGACCTGAGATAAACCCTATACATGACCTGAGATAAACACCATACATGACCTGAGATAAACCCCATACATGACCTGAGATAAACCCTATACATGACCTGAGATAAACCCTATACATGACCTGAGATAAACCCTATACATGACCTGAGATAAACCCTATACATGACCTGAGATAAACCCCATACATGACCTGAGATAAACCCTATACAGACCTGAGATAAAATGACCTTACATGACCTGAGATAAACCCTATACATGACCTGAGATAAACCCTATACATGACCTGAGATAAACACCATACATGACCTGAGATAAACACCATACATGACCTGAGATAAACACCATACATGACCTGAGATAAACACCATACATGACCTGAGATAAACACCATACATGACCTGAGATAAACACCATACATGACCTGAGATAAACACCATACATGACCTGAGATAAACACCATACATGACCTGAGATAAACACCATACATGACCTGAGATAAACACCATACATGACCTGAGATAAACACCATATACATGACCTGAGATAAACACATAATACTGAGGATACACAATACTGACCTGAGATAAACACCATACATGACCTGAGATAAACACCATACATGACCTGAGATAAACACCATACATGACCTGAGATAGACACCATATGACAGATATACATGACCTGAGATAAACCACTCATACATGACCTGAGATAAATCACCAGATAAACATACATGACCTGAGATAAAACTCATACATGACCTGAGATAAACCCTATACATGACTTGAGATAAACACCATACATGACCTGAGATAAACACCATACATGACCTGAGATAAACACCATACATGACCTGAGATAAACCCTATACATGACCTGAGATAAACCCTATACATGACCTGAGATAAACCCTATACATGACCTGAGATAGACCCTATACATGACCTGAGATAAACCCTATACATGACCTGAGATAAACACCATACATGACCTGAGATAAACACCATATATGACCTGAGATAAACACCACACATGACCTGAGATAAACACCACACATGACCTGAGATAAACCCTATACATGACCAGAGATAGACCCTATACATGACCTGAGATAAACCCTATACATGACCTGAGATAAACACCACACATGACCTGAGATAAACCCTATACATGACCTGAGATAGACACCATACATGACCTGAGATAAACACCATACATGACCTGAGATACACACCATACATGACCTGAGATAAAACACCCCACATGACCTGAGATAAACACCACACATGACCTGAGATAAAACACCACACATGACCTGAGATAAAACACCATACATGACCTGAGATAAAACACCACACATGACCTGAGATACACACCATACATGACCTGAGATAAAACACCACACATGACCTGAGATAAAACACCACACATGACCTGAGATAAACACCACACATGACCTGAGATAAACACCACACATGACCTGAGATAAAACACCACACATGACCTGAGATAAACACCACACATGACCTGAGATAAACACCACACATGACCTGAGATAAACACCACACATGACCTGAGATAAAACACCACACATAACCTGAGATAAACACCACACATGACCTGAGATAAAACACCGCACATGACATTCAGCACTGACCAAGGATAATGCAGCCCACAAACAACAATCACAACACCAGACATTGTAACACCAGACATTGTAACACCAGACATTGTAACACCAGACATTGTAACACCAGACATTGTAACACCAGACATTGTAACACCAGACATTGTAACACCAGACATTGTAACACCAGACATTGTAACACCAGACATTGTAATACCAGACATTGTAACACCAGACATTGTAACACCAGTCATTGTAACACCAGACATTGTAACACCAGACATTGTAACACCAGACATTGTAACACCAGACATTGTAACACCAGACATTGTAACACCAGACATTGTAACACCAGACATTGTAACACCAGACATTGTAACACCAGACATTGTAACACCAGACATTGTAACACCAGACATTGTAACACCAGTCATTGTAACACCAGACATTGTAACACCAGACATTGTAACACCAGACATTGTAACACCAGACATTGTAACACCAATCATTGTAACACCAGACATTGTAACACCAGACATTGTAACACCAGACATTGTAACACCAGACATTGTAACACCAGACATTGTAACACCAGACATTGTAACACCAGACATTGTAACACCAGACATTGTAACACCAGACATTGTAACACCAGACATTGTAACACCAGACATTGTAACACCAGACATTGTAACACCAGACATTGTAACACCAGACATTGTAACACCAGACATTGTAACACTAGACAGACTTCCCACATGACACTGGACATGTTCCACCGTCACCATAGATAATGCGCCACACATAACAACAACGTCAACAGCAAACATTGTAATACTAGACAGACTTCCTACATGACACATTACATGTTTCACCTTTATCACAGACAATACAGTGCACTACGAACTACCATCACACTTCTGCTTCTTCTGCGCGTTCACCGTCTGTAAACTCCTGAGAATAGTTCTGGTTGTTCTGATGTGACTTTTGGTTGCTCGCGTTTGAGGCAGACTCGCTCTTACTTGAAAGGAAACACCCGTAGTACCAAGTGCTGTTTGAGGGGCAGGTGGGCCAATGGCTTGTCCCCAACATATGAGGTCCTTGTATCCACACGGGAACCATCACACTTGATAAACTGTTTCACTTTTAGCAGCCATAATACCGAAATACTCACCATATAGTTTTATTATTCGCCACACATAATACTGAAATACACAACGTATAGTTTCATTGTTCACCACACATAATACTTAAATGCTTACTGTATAGTTTCATTACTCGCCACACATAATACTGAAATTCTCATCGTATAGTTTCATTATTCGCCACATTCATCATCATCATCATGTAGCAGGTCATTTGCAGAACGTCGCTCTCATCACGGTCTGCCTGAAACAAAAGCTTGGTCTCTTGCCAGCTCTCCAGCCTCATGCACTTTCATACTCAAGGAGTCACTTATATCCTGTGCCCATCTTCCTATTGGTCGGCCCCTGCTCCTCCTTCCTGGTTCAGTGTCTTGTGCTATATTTTTGTCCAATCCTTCGTGGCGCTTGATATGACCAAAATATTTCAGCTTCCGAGACAGGATGCTGTTTATTAGCCAATCTTCCTTGATGTTCAGATCTTTCAAGATGTCAGTATTTCTCCTCTTTTTCGTCCAAGATATTCTAAGAATCGTTCTATAGCAATTAGCCCAAAAGCCCCTATTTTCACTTGGAGACAGTCAACGACTCACATCCGTATGTTGCTACAGGAAAGATGCATGCTCTCAAAATTCTAATTTTGATCTCCTTGCTGGTGCTTAACCATAGACTTTCTTTTTAGACTGTTTAATCTTTGCATTGCTATAGCCATCCTCTTTTTAATTCGCCACACTTATCATATTTTATGTGTTTGAGGTATTTGCTTGTCACCGTGTGAAGGCGAGTAGACAAACGCAGTCCACGTATACAGTTGTGCTCTGTTTGCCAGGTGGCTGTATGGACAAGCGATGTGCCAGTTGTACGCCTTTGAGGGAATGTTCTTCGGTATCGCCGCCATTGGCGCAGTCATCGCCCTGTGTGTGGAGCGCTACTACATCGCCAACAGACTCTCGTCTGGCTCCAGTAAGTGGAAGAAACCAGACAAAGTTTGATCTGGTCAAATGTGTTCATACCTGGTGTGCTGCGTGAATATATATATATATATATGTGTGTGTGTGTGTGTGTGTGGGTGTGTGTGTGTGTGGGTGGGTGAGAGAGAGAACGAAAGAGAGACAGACAGACAGACAGACAGACAGACAGACAGACAGACAGACAGACAGACAGACAGACAGACAGACAGACAGACAGACAGACAGACAGACAGACAGACAGAGATAGAGAGAGAGAGAGAGAGAGAGAGAGAGAGAGAGAGAGAGAGAGAGAGAGAGAGACTAGCAAAACGTGCAGCTAATTGTTTTATTGACTTCTGCTCAAAACCTGCTCCATGTCTTGATGGCTTCAACTGCCAAAACAAGACGTACAAGTCAAGGTTAGTTTTTACTAATTGCAATATGATGGTTTCTGGGTAGGAACTAATTGGAATATCACGGCTTCTGGGTAGGAACTAACAGGAAGATCACGAATATGATTATGTCTGCATAGGAACTAATAAGAGCATCATGGCTTCTGGATATAAACTAACAGAAATATGATGGCTTCTGGATATAAACTAACAGGAATATGATGGCTTCTGGATATAAACTAACAGGAATATAACGGCTTCTGGGTAGCAACTAACAGGAACATGATGGCATCTGGGTAGAAACTAACAGGAATATGATGGCTTCTAGGTAGGAACTAACAGGAATATGATGGCTTCTGGGTAGAAACTAACAGGAATATGATGGCTTTTGGGTAGGAACTAACAGGAATATGATGGCTTCTGGGTATAAACTAACAGGAATATGATGGCTTCTAGGTAGGAACTAACAGGAATATGATGGCTTCTGGGTAGGAACTAACAGGAATATGATGGCTTCTAGGTAGGAACTAACAGGAATATGATGGCTTCTAGGTAGGAACTAACAGGAATATGATGGCTTCTAGGTAGGAACTAACAGGAATATGATGGCTTCTAGGTAGGAACTAACAGGAATATCATGGCTTCTGGGTAGGAACTAACAAGAGCATCATGTCTTTTCGATAGGAGCTAATAGGTATATGATGGCGTCTGGATAGGAACTGGTAGGAATATGATGGCGTCTGGATAGGAACTGGTAGGTATATGATGGCGTCTGGATAGGAACTGGTAGGAATATGATGGCGTCTGGATAGAAACTGGTAGGAAAATGATGGCGTCTGGATAGGAACTGGTAGGAATATGATGGCGTCTGGATAAGAAATAATAAGAGCATCATGTCTGAACAGGGGAAATAATGTAGGGAAAGTCCCAATCGACGATCAATTAGAGAGATTAATTCTTTTTTTTTTTTTTTTAGTTACCCTTATGACGTCACGATGATATCATGGGACCAAGCAAATAATTTCCAGGTTGGTCGGGTATAGCTTTTCCAGCAGTGCGTTTCTACCTTTCTTTTAGAGCAATTTGTCAGAGCTTTAGCGGGCGTTCTCAAGGTTTTGGCGGGCGTTGTCAAGTTTTTGGCGGGCGTTGTCAAGGCTTTGGCGGGCGTTGTCAAGGCTTTGGCGGGCGTTCTCAAGGTTTTGGCGGGCGTTGTCAAGGGCGCGCTATGCTCTTCTTACTTGTCGTCTTGTTTCAGTGTGCATCAGGGCTGTGGCATGTCGCAGATAGAGCGCGACTACTTACGGGAGGTTTGTGCCAGCACATTGTTATTGAATCCTGCTGTGATGGGCAGAGGAAACACCACTGCTGAAATTGATAAAAGTCTGTTTGGTTGCAAGGCGGGCAAATCATATGGTACGTGTGTGTTCCACAACAGCGGGTATTAGATGGAGTCTTTCGTGAGATGGGCGAATGCTGTCTATGATCTGCGTTCCAGACAGAAAAGCAGAGACGCTTCTGCCCATCATTAGCACAAACATCAGACCCGGCACTCAACAGTAGACATCTGGCGTGCCTACATTTAACTGAGAATATTCCTGGATTGACGCATCTCCACGTAAGTCACTCTATCAATTTTGTCGACCCTACCACAGGTACGCATACTCAATGCATTGAACGTTTGTGCAGGTCGGCAGAGGAGAGAAGAAACAAGCGCCACACTGGGACCCACAGTGGCGTAGACGCGCTCAACGATGCTAACGTGTAACATTGTTGTGACTGTCAGTTCATGCGTGAACCCAGCAGTATACGTCTAAAATGACTGACCCCGTTATAGGGCCCCACAGCACCCCAGTTGACAATTTCTCCAAAAGTTTCACACACACACACACACACACACATTGCTAATCATAATTTGTTGTGTTATCCCTCTTATGTTTGTTTAAATAATTATTATTTGGGTAATCCGTTGCTGAAAGTATTCTAAAAGCCGAGTTTACAATAATTTACATCTTTTTTTTTTTTTAAAGTAAAAAAAAGGGGGTGGGGACAGTCGAGTAGGGGTTAAACGCGGCATTTTTCGATTGTAATGCAGATGTGATACTAATTACACTAGACATTCACACGACAAAGAGACATGAACATATTACCAGTGTTTGTACACCAGCCGATCGATTGCGCATCAAAACACAGAAATATGCCACAACAAAACACAGCGCAATTACATCCCTTGAAATAATTGACTGTCCTGTCAGCGGTTGACTTGCCCTGGATTTCCCGTGTTTAGGGTAAGTAAAATATAAAGCACCGAGAGATCTAATGTACTTCATGTCTCCCAACACGATAGAGAGCCGGTGCATAGTTTCACCGGAAAGATGGTTTCAACGGAAAGATAGTTTCACCGGAAAGATAGTTTCACCGGAAAGATAGTTTCACCGGAAAGATAGTTTCACCGGAAAGATAGTTTCACCAGACGCTGAATAAATGTGGCAAGTCAAGATTGGCACAGTAAATATATCATCATTGATTTGATTGGGTAATTAGCGTTATAGGAAGAAAGAAGCAGGATTTAAACATAGCATTTCAGCATACATATATTAAATAGGCATGTGAATTTAAATATCTTGCAACAACATTCACTCAAGAAGGTAAATTCGACGAAGAAATTGACATCCGATGCAGTAAAGCTGGCAAAGTATTGGGACAGCTAAAGCAATCCCAAGTCAGCACAAAGAGACCTCTTATACAAAGCATATTCATTCCCACACTATGCAACCAGTGTCAGACGTGGTCACTCACAACAAAACATAGAAGAAAATTAGTACCCATGCAAATGAGGTGTCTGAGAAAGGCAGTAGGAGTGACCAGAAAACATAAAATCAGGAATAAGGTCATACGAGATAAAGTCGGCACAGAACAATTTCTAAATTACATAGAAAGACAGCAAATCAAATGGTTTTCCCACTTGGAGAGAATGCCCTTGGTCGAAGCAGCCGGAAAGGCACGAAACATAAATCTCCCTCGACAACCGAAGCGGTAACAGAAGACGTAAAGAAGAAGAAGAGGAAGAAAAAAAAGAAGAAGAAGAAGAAGAAGAAGAAGAAGAAGAAGAAGAAGAAGAAGAAGAAGAAGAAGAAGAAGAAGAAGAAGAAGAAGAAGAAGAAGAAGAATGATCTAGGGGGCTGTGTGATCTCGAGACATGGTGTCCGCCTCAAGTGCTAGAGCTGCCGGGTTCGATCCCTGGTAAGGGCCGAGATCTTTTCACGTGGACTTGGACTTTTAGTAATTCCCCCTGGTGTCTGGGTAGTGAGATCAGACGCCCGTATGTATTGTTGCGCACGTAAAAAATGCCGTAGCAGTTTGATATCGAAAAGAGTAGCCTAACGGAACTGCCCGGGCAAAATTTGGAGTTAAAAATCAACCTAAAGTATTTAAGGATCATCGCCGGTGCTACAGAGCTTGTAAACTGATCCTCACGTCTTTGGACTCAGACCTGAGTTATAAGAAGAACGGAGCACTCGTGGGTTAGTACCCGTGTGCCAAGATGTTGATCCGTTGTTCAAAGTTCAAACCTAGCATGATTTGGTTGATTGTTTGATTGGACTGGCTGATTGGTTCAAGTGATTGTTTGATTGGACTGGCTGATTGGTTGAAGTGATGGTTTGATTGGACTGGCTGATTGGTTGAAGTGATTGTTTGATTGGACTGGTTGATTCGTTGAAGTGATTGTTTGATTGGACTAGCTGATTGGTTGAAATGATTGTTTGATTGGACTGGCTGATTGGTTGAAGTGATTGTTCGATTGGACCGGCTGATTGGTTGAAGTGATTGTTTGATTGGACTGGCTGATTGGTTGAAGTGATTGTTTGATTGGACTGGCTGATTGGTTGAAGTGATTGTTTGATTGGACTGGCTGATTGGTTGAAGTGATTGTTTGATTGGACTGGCTGATTGGTTGAAGTGATTGTTTGATTGGACTGGCTGATTGGTTGAAGTGATTGTTTGATTGGACTGGCTGATTGGTTGAAGTGATTGTTTGAATGTTTGACAGAAGATGGCAGCGGCTGGTTCTACACCTGGTCCCTGATACTTGTCGTGGGTAACGCTCTGTTCTGGGCCACCATGCCTCTCCTGGGATGGAGCCGGTTAGTATATCTGAAAGTCATTTATTTTATACACAGCATCTTAACAGTCATTGGTCTCATACACAACATCTCAACAGTCATTTTTTTTAAAACACAACATCTCAACAGTCATTTATTTTATACACAACATCTCAACAGTCATTTATTGCATACACAACATCTCAACAGTCATTCATCTCATACGCAATATCTCAACAGTCATTGGTCTCATACACAACATCTCAACAGTCATTCATCTCATTCACAACGTCTCAACAGTCATTCATTTGATACACAGCATCTCAACAGTCATTTATTTCATACACCTCATCTAAACAGTCATTCATTTCATACACAGAATCTCAACAGTCATTCATCTCATTCACAACATTTCAAAAGTCATTGGTCTCATTCAAAACATCTCAACAGTCATTTATCTTATACACAACATCTCAACAGTCATTCATCTCATTCACAACATCCCAACAGTCATTGGTCTCATGCAAAACATCTCAACAGTCATTCATCTCATACACAGCATCTTAACAGTCATTCATCTCCTACACATCATCTCACCTGTCACTCATCTCATACACAACATATCAACAGTGGTGTACAAACATTGCCCAAAATCCCATCAGTATTGATTTATGTGTAATTATTACTTGTTACGGAGTGGGGGGGGGGGGGGGGGGGTTTAATCGATGACAAATAAGACAAGACAATGAAAAAACAGTACAACAGCAAACGTCAGTAGAGGCCATGTGGCAGCCTCCGTATCAGATTACCACATTACCAGATTACCAGTCTCCGTAACTACAACAATCACATCATTATGACGTGAAGTCCTAGCATGATCTACAACCTGTAATGTGAAGATGTGAGGCTCCAGCATGACCTACAACCTGTGATGTGAAGGTCTGAAGCCTCCGCCTGAGGTCTAGCATTTGACTTTCTGCAGATGGTGACGCGAAATAACTCGTAGATAAACACTAAAATACGTGCACGTGTGGCACAGTCGTGCCTATACATCCCCCAAGAAATAGATGTGCCTAAGTCGGCCAAGTGGAATGAATATGGTTCGTATCTCTCTTCAATCATACTCAAGAACAAGGCCAGTGATGTAATCAATTACATAAGAGCTGGTTTATTCATAATATTCTCGTCACACACATTTCATAAATTCAATAAGCAATAGTATATGAACACTTCTTATTACTGGCTATTCGTATGCCTCTACGAGTTCCTTAACCACTGTTCTGGCTAAACTCCAAGTTTAACATATACATTCTAAACGAAGTAAAGCACTAGTTTTCTCCTAACCGGTTTCTCTAGCAGTCTAGCCCTAACTGTCTTCTCATGGCGGTTCCGGGGCTAACTGTCCTCTCCAGCGGTTCCGGGACTAACTGTCCTCTCCAGCGGTTCCGGGACTAACTCACTGTTCTAGCTAAACTCCAAGTTTAACATATACCTTCTAACGAAGTACAGCACTAGTTTTCTCCTGACCGGTTTCTCTAGCGGTCTAGCCCTAACTGTCCTCTCAAGCGGTTTCCGGGGCTAACCGTCCTCTCCAGCGGTTCCGGGACTAACTAACTTCTCAAGCCCTTGGCTCTGACTTTATTCCACCGCTTTCCCGCTCCTCCTGGCGTACCATCTTAATCACCCCCCTGTCACCTGTCCTTGGTGGTCACGTTTGGATGAACGTATCTCGTCAGCTGGTCACAGCTCACGGGCACTCGTCGAATGTTTCATCCCTCACTGTCAGATGTCATGGCGGTGTGTTCTGCATAGCTGGCTAGGCCATGGCTTTCTAATCACCCATTCTGTCATTTCACACAGTGATGGATTAGTACGCCGTGTGGTGGTCTGAAATGTATGCTTGTTCATTTAACCCCTTTCTGCCTATACTTCATTACATTCGCCCTACACACTTTTTAACAAAATTGTTTCCTATCTTCAATTTTATGAAAACTAATCTAATTATACCCGCTACCTAACTAAACCTTATGTGAACATCTAGCCACGTAATGAAAGCATACAACATAACATGTAACATCATAAAATTCATGCAGTATAATGAAAACGTGACATGCATACAATAACTAATAGTCAATAATTCTAAAGACATTAAAAAAAAACGATACAACTCCCTCGTTGTATTAGCATAACAACCTATTATTCACTGGTATCCCTAATGAATGTGCGGAGTTGTCTGAAGTATAAAGGAATAGTATCTGTATTCCTCCTTTATAAACTCATACCTGAAAACATTGTATACAACTAATGACATGCCATGTATCCCCAGTTATCAATAAAGTAACACTCGAAAATGTCATCTCCCCAAGAAAGGATGATAATAGAATCTCTGAGAAAGTCAACATAGACTGAACAATAAGGTATAACCTTTACAGAGTATAAATAATTCTTATACCGTTAGGTATATTAAATGGAGAGAAATTTCTCAGAAACAATCGTAGCATTTCCTCAAGTCGAATGTACAATGCCACCACCTGTATTTACAGGCATTTATCTACTGTGATAGTCCACAGCGTTTATTGTTGCTTCCCTAAGAGGTTGCTTCCTCTGTTTAATGCATATCGCATCTTCTGTAAAGAAATATCGGCCTATATTCAGTTACCAATCATGTCATGCTTTGGACTGGCTTATCGTCAAGTACGTTTCTAACTGTGTACCTCAGTAAAGTCTGGTTAAACTCAAATCAGTCATCATTCTGACAGAATGTATAAGAGAGGTTTTGTTGCCAGTAACTCTCTTAGCGAACATAAAACATGTAGGTATTGTAATCTTCACCCACAACCGAACGTGTGGATTATCACTTGTCCGGGAGAGTACAACACGATTAAAAAACGTTCATAGTGCAAAACCAAATGTAAATATTAAATGGTAGGGACAAAACAACAGGTATATATTTAATATTGTCGGACAAATGACATGTAGACACAACAACAGAATATGTGTAGCGAGCGCGGTACCTCTGTACACAGCAATATAGCGTACGTAAATTGTAATTAATGAAACTAATTACTTGTTATACACCCTACAATCCCACATTTATTGAACCATTTTACGAACGATCCCATTTCATTCAGTCATGGGAAAAGGGAGGGGGAGGGAAGCTGTAATTAATGTATGGTTTACTCAGGGTATAAATTCAGTCTACCCCCTGATGATTCTGGCCTACTAACTGTAGTAGATGCTTACTGTTCTAGTTCTATTTCTTCTTCTGTCTTATTAGTGATCTGTGTTTTTTCTTTTCTTAAATGATAAGTTAGCAATAAATCGGAACATCTTATTAATTTTGCTATATTCGGTAGATGCCACTTCATTACGACACTTCTGGCTACTTTTATTTCCGTGTAAATTTCCATCTAATACATGTGATTTTCTCGCATCTTTATTTTCCTGTAAACCATGCCGCTCGTTTAAATCGGTATGCGAATTTTTAATGCCCGACATTCTTGTCTCCTGTTTTGCTCTTTTGTTAGGCGAAGTTTCTACTGTTTCTTCTTCTTCTCTTCTACTATTACATGTAAATTTAACTGGTACTTCTGACGGTTTTAATTCTTTCACACTAGACGGAGTATTAGTCCTGGTTCTAACCGCGACTAAAATTCTACGACCCGTTTTGTTTGTGATCCCAATTTCACTATCTGCGTCGTAGTTTTCTGAGAATAGATCTACCTTTATGTTACTAACTACAAACGGTAATGTATTTATTCCTTCACCTTCTTCTTCTGTAGGCATCACCTGTCTATAAGACAAATCCTGCTGATTTCTTTCTTTTATTGTCCCTACCCTCTCTACTTTCCTATGTGTGCTATTGCTATCTAGCCTTTTTACTTCTACCGCGTTTACTTCCCATAACCATTCCATTGCTAAACAACCCTCTTCATCTTCTTCTTGTTCCGACTTAACTTTAGTCGGTGTTAACTCTTTATGTTTCTCTATGTTCCCTTCCTCTTTAAAGTATTGACCGCGTTTCCCGTTTACAGTTACCGCATTTACTTCGTTAATGTAGCTTTTATTAAACCGTTTCATGGGATTCCTCTCTTTTAACCCTTTTACTTCTAATCTGTTTGTCTCATCATCAGCAGCGCACGTGCTTTTATTACCTCTCTGCCATAATCCGTTATAGTTACTGACCTCGCGATTATTTCCTAAGTTTTGCAGTCTTATATTCTTATTATAGCCTAATTTTCTTAACCTGTCTCTTTTGAATTTGTTGGCTTGATTATGGGTAGTACCGTGGGCCCTGTAATCTTGATTAGTGCTCATCGTGCTAAATCTGGAATCTGGATTACAGGACCTAACTCGACTTCGGTTATCATCATGGATATTTCCTACTCTATTTATGTTCTGATATCTGTTACTATTATTATGCCACTGTTCCTGTGCTCTTCTATGTCTATTATTTTCTAATTTTCTCAACCTGTCTGCTCTATGGAAATTTTTAAAATGCCCTCGTTCATTTTGTACACATGACCTCAGTTGACCCTGATTTTTCTCGTACGCTTTTGTGTTGTATGGTCTGCGGTACTGATTGTCTCTAGGGTATTGCAATCTCTCGTTAGCATAATTTCGCCTGTCTGGGAAACCGGACAGTCGATTAACAGCGACGTTACTTCTAGTGACTGATGCTATGTTATAATTTCTTTCTCTCTGTCTTTGTCTACGACTATCTACAGTCGACCAATGCTGGGCAGTTTTTTGTTCTATAAAAAATGGAATACGGAGTAGTCTACCTAACCGTGCTACTTCATTAAAAACTCTGCTAAACTGTGCTCTCACTGTTGCTTGATATGCCATTATTAAAACCTAGAAAATTAACTAATGTAAACTAAAATAGAATTTAAAACAGAAAATGTCGTATTACCTTGTTAAGTGCGGTCTGAAAAAAAAAATTATCGTTTCACAACACACTGTAATTAAAAATCGGCACTGTCCTGGAATTATTTTCTACGTTCAGGATGAAAGGTAGGAAAAGAAAAGAAAAGGTTTTCCCTACACCACTGTAAATTAAAAATCACAATATATTTAAACTAATTAATATTAATGTTCAAGGTTCTTTAAATTTGCGCTTATTTTGCAGTTCCTATTTGAAAAATCGGACAGCTCACAGTTCTTGACTTTCCTATAGTCTTCCGAGTGTGTAAAGTTAGGAAAAGTTTATATTATGGCTCCCGACTAGAACGGGCGCGTCCCCCTGATTCTAGTGTAGACGGTTTGCTCCAGGCTAGAACGGGCGTGTCCCCCTGATTCTAGTGTAGACGGTTTGCTCCAGGCTAGAACGGGCGTGTCCTCCTGATTCTAGTGTAGACGGTTTGCTCCAGGCTAGAACGGGCGTGTCCCCCTGATTCTAGTGTAGACGGTTGGCTCCAGACTAGAACCGGCGTGTCCCCCTGATTCTAGTGTAGACGGTTGGCTCCAAAAGGTGGTGCAGGCTGTTGGTCTGGTTTACGTCTCTCTATTCTGATGACGGTTTTTCTCGACTTTTCTTACTCCGCAGGCACAATCATAAACTTGCTTTTAGTTCACCTTTTTATAGCAGTTGCTTATTTGTTATGTTGTAACAGAAGTCTTGTTTTTAAAGATGTCGAGTACACAAGACTGATCGTTGGTCACGGCATCCAAATATCCTCACACTTGTCTAAACGGGGCGTCTGTACATCCCCCAAGAAATAGATGTGCCTAAGTCGGCCAAGTGGAATGAATATGGTTCGTATCTCTCTTCAATCGTACTCAAGAACAAGGCCAGTGATGTAATCAATTACATAAGAGCTGGTTTATTCATAATATTCTCGTCACACACATTTCATAAATTCAATAAGCAATAGTATATGAACACTCCTTATTACTGGCTATTCGTATGCCTCTACGAGTTCCTTAACCACTGTTCTGGCTAAACTCCAAGTTTAACATATACATTCTAAACGAAGTAAAGCACTAGTTTTCTCCTAACCGGTTTCTCTAGCAGTCTAGCCCTAACTGTCTTCTCATGGCGGTTCCGGGGCTAACTGTCCTCTCCAGCGGTTCCGGGACTAACTGTCCTCTCCAGCGGTTCCGGGACTAACTCACTGTTCTAGCTAAACTCCAAGTTTAACATATACCTTCTAACGAAGTACAGCACTAGTTTTCTCCTGACCGGTTTCTCTAGCGGTCTAGCCCTAACTGTCCTCTCAAGCGGTTCCGGGGCTAACCGTCCTCTCCAGCGGTTCCGGGACTAACTAACTTCTCAAGCCCCTGGCTCTGACTTTATTCCACCGCTTTCCCGCTCCTCCTGGCGTACCATCTTAATCACCCCCCTGTCACCTGTCCTTGGTGGTCACGTTTGGATGAACGTATCTCGTCAGCTGGTCACAGCTCACGGGCACTCGTCGAATGTTTCATCCCTCACTGTCAGATGTCATGGCGGTGTGTTCTGCATAGCTGGCTAGGCCATGGCTTTCTAATCACCCATTCTGTCATTTCACACAGTGATGGATTAGTACGCCGTGTGGTGGTCTGAAATGTATGCTTGTTCATTTAACCCCTTTCTGCCTATACTTCATTACACACGTGCATCATCTCTCATCATCATTATCATGTGTGATTGTGAGTGGCACACGTGATCATGTTCCCCAAGAACCAAGTGTCTCCTGGGTCTTGCGTCTCATTACAAACAGCAATCTCGGAGGGTTTTTAGTCTCTATTACAAACAGCAATCTCAGAGGGATTTTAGTCTCTATTACAAACAGCAATCTCAGAGGGATTTTAGTCTCTATTACAAACAGCGATCTCAGAGAGTTTTTAGTCTCTATTACAAACAGCAGTCTCAGAGGGTTTTTAGTCTCTGTTACAAGCAGCAGTCTCAGAGGGTTTTTAGTCTTTATTACAAACAGCAGTCTCAGAGGGTTTTTAGTCTCTATTACAAACAGCAGTCTCAGAGGGTTTTTAGTCTCTATTACAAACAGCAGTCTCAGAGAGTTTTTAGTCTCTGTTACAAGCAGCAGTCTCAGACGGTTTTTAGTTTCTATTACAAACAGCAATTTAGGAGGGTTTTTAGTCTCTATTACAAACAGCAGTCTCAGAGGGTTTTTAGTCTCTATTACAAACAGCAATCTCAGAGGGTTTTTAGTCTCTATTACAAACAGCGATCTCATAGAGTTTTTAGTCTTTATTACAACAGCAATCTCAGAGAATTTTTAGTCTGTTACAAACAGCAGTCTCAGAGGGTTTTTAGTCTCTATTACAAACAGCAATCTCAGAGGGTTTTTAGTCTCTATTACAAACAGCAATCTCAGAGGGTTTTTAGTCTCTATTACAAACAGCAATCTCAGAGGGTTTTTAGTCTCTATTACAAAAAGCAATCTCAGAGAGTTTTTAGTCTCTGTTACAAACAGCAGTCCCAGGGGGTTTTTAGTCTCTATTACAAACAGCAATCTCAGAGGGTTTTTAGTCTCTATTACAAACAGCAATCTCAGAGAGTTTTTAGTCTTTATTACAACAGCAATCTCAGAGAGTTTTTAGTCTGTTACAAACAGCAATCTCAGAGGGTTTTTAGTCTCTATTACAAACAGCAATCTCAGAGGGATTTTAGTAGGGCTGTACCGAATAGTGATTTTCACTTTTCGGCCGAATACGAATAGCAGGACCAACTATTCGGCCGAATACGAATACGAATAGTGTATAGTGTAAAGAATATATTTAAAAAAAAAACAACAACAACACATTTATAATGTCAAATGTACGCTAAACTTTTACTTCACATAAAGTAGCACAAAATAGTCATATTTTCTTCAGCATTCTGAGCCCTTGAGGCTTCTTGTTGTAGATATTACTTGTCTCCATTCATCTCTCTGGCTGGCCTTATCTTCACAATTTCTGACACCAGTTGTTTGCAGGTCTGGCTGGACATTATCTCTCGAACTTCTTTTTTTGTCTGCCTCGTGGTCTACGCCCATTCCTCTCTCGTGTGTATACAGTTTTTACTTCTCTGTCATCTGACATGCTTTCAATATGCCCCAACCATTTTAGTCTGTTAGCTCTCATGATGCCAGTGATCAATGGTGATTTAAACAGATTACGTGTTACGTTGTTGCTTCTCACTCTCCATTCCCCGCTGTTAGCATCTTTGATGGGTCCAAAGATTTGTCGTAAGACTGTTTTCGAAAACCTGTAATAAGGCCTCATCTCTTATATTTCTGCTTCAAGTTTCAGAGCCATATAAAACGACTGGTGTTATCAACGTTTTATATATTTTGATCTTGGTGTTGCGAGACAGACACTTTGACTTTAGCAGATGTTGAAGGGCATAGAATACTTTATTTCTAGATTGTATTCTAGATTGTATTTCTTCTCTCAGCATGTTGGAGCAGTTGAAGTTTGCACCCAATTACTTATATGTTTCCGTTCGTTTGATTTTTAAATTATCGACTTGGATGTGGCCGGAGTTTATATTCTTTCCACGTCTAGTTAATAATCGTACAGAATAGTAAACATTTAAAACATTTTATGTTTTGCTTCCTTCAGCCAGTCTATGGTAAGTAACTAATAACTAGGAATGAAAGAATCCTAACTAACTAAACTTGGAAATTGTCACTGACAGCTTTGTTAATGCAGGAAAGCTGCAATAGCTTTCAACAAAACCAATCGTTCCATGTTGTCAGCATTAAGGCCTTGTATGCAGAAACCGGTGTAAGTTAACTACTATTCGTATTCGACCCGACCGTAACTATTCGGCCGAATACCGAATTGCCAATAGGTCCACTATTCGGCCCCGAAGCGAATACGAAGCGAATATTCGGTACAGCCCTAGTTTTTAGTCTCCTTTACAAACAGCAATCTCAGAGGGTTTTTAGTCTCTATTACAAATAGCAATCTCAGAGGGTTTTTAGTCTCTATTACAAACAGCAGTCTCAGAGGGTTTTTAGTCTATATTACAAACAGCAGTCTCAGAGGGTTTTTAGTCTATATTACAAACAGCAATCTCGGAGGGTTTTTAGTCTCTATTGCAAACAGCAGTTTTTGGGTGATACGACAGCTGAGAAAATGGTCTCCAAGGCTCAACTAACAAGGTTCAACTAACAAGGTTCCAATCCAAACTGTGTTATCACTGTAACAAGTACCAGGCGGGACGTGAACTCCTATGACCTGCCTGTTGAGAACATATGTGGACAGATCACCCTGTATTGTGGCTGGCTCTTCCAGGTACGCCATCGAACTCACGGGAACATCGTGCGCTATCGACTGGGCGCACCCAGACCAGAGCTACATCTCCTACATGGCCACGCTGACCATCTTCTCCTTCGTTGTCCCGCTGCTGGTGGCCTTGCTGTGTGTCCGCTCTGCTCACGTGACACCTGCCAGCCAATCAGTCCCTGGGTCCAGCGAGTCCAGCCAAGGTCAAGGGCCGTCACAGGTGACAGAACACAGTCCTGGCTCTTTCACAGAGACCCAGCTACGAATGGTATGTAAGGGTCTCAGTCTCCCCATCTCGTGGAGACAGCGGTTGTGTCATAGTGGTACTTTTAGTGTCTAGGTTTGTCTCATTGTGATACTTTTAATGTCTAGGTTTATGTCATTGCAAAACTTATAATGTCTATGTTTGCGTCATTGTGATAATGTACTTTCTCGATTCGTGTCAGTGTGATAGTGTCTAGGTTTCCATCGTTATGATACTTGCAGTCTCAAGGTTTATGTCATTGTGATGTTTGTAGTTATGTTATGTTATCACAATCAATGTAACAACACTTTGGGCATTCCCATGCATGCTCAGTCCTCCGAGAGGTTGGTTATAATGTCTCCTATCCCAGCCTCGAAAACGGCATAGACACTTTTCACCATGCTTTACTCCTGCGTCATGCAAACGTGTTAGTGTCAGAGATTCATCATTATCCACTAGCACAGTCCGACCAGCGTACATGCTTCTTCCCACATGCTTTTGTGCATGACTTGCCAGTTGGTCTGCTCACTTATTAACTTATACGCTAGCCTGCCTAGGTGTGTAGATCCAGGTGAAGAAGTTTAAGTGCGACTTTTGAATCAGAGCTTAAACCACCTGTTGCTATTGTTTGAAACATGTTCTTGGAGTTCAGTACAGTTATTGCCTGTGTGACTGTGCTCTTGTGTCTATGTCAGTGCTTTAGAAGCACTGGCTGTCTTAACGGTGATTCTTAAGGTAGTTGTCTGGTAGGCACCGCTGTTCTCTTTTATTGTTTTCCCCTTCTTTATTAGGTGTCTAACCATGCTAACCTTGAACCGCACTTCCAGGATCGATATGTGTAGATGGTGATGTCTTCTGGGTGTGAATGCTGATCTATCAGCCCACCTACGTCGCTGTCTCCGGCCGCAGAAATCTGCTTCCTGCAGTAGATCCCCATCATGATGACAACCTTAGAGATGACAACATGTGCATTCGTTATCTTTTCCGTGACTGATCTCGTCTAGGTCACATGCCTGCTAGATAACTTGAGTGTCTAGGTTCCCATTTTTATGATATTTGTGGTGGCTAGGTTTGCGTCATTGTGATGCTTGTAGTGGCTAGGTTGCATCTCTGTGATATTTGTAATGTTTCTGTCATTCTGATACTTGTACGGTGGCGGTTTCTGTCATTGTGATATTTGTAGTGTCTATGGTTATGTCATTGTGATACTTGTGGTGTCTAGGTTTCTGTCATTGTGCTACTTGAAGTGTCTAAGATTATGTCATTGTGATACTTGTGGTGTCTAGGTTTCTTTCATTGTGCTACTTGAAGTGTCATGGTGATACTTGTGATATCTAGGTTTGGGACTATGTGGTAGGTGAAGTTTAAGGTTTTTACTCTGTAATAATTGCGGTGTCTAGGTTTCTTTCATTGTGCTACTTGAAGTGTCTAGGCTTCTGTCATGGTGATTACTGCAGCTCCTCTTTTCACACATTTGTTACATCTTTCTACTCTCTCAACAGATGTTCCCTTCTTTGTAATCTCTCTTTCTCTCTCTCTCTCTCTCTCTCTCTCTCTCTCTCTCTCTCTCTTTCTCTCTCTCTCTCTCTCTGTCTTTCTCTGCATACGTGTTTCATCGTTGTATTCTCCCTATCCACAGATGTCTATCATCTTTGTACTCTCTCCACAGATGTGTTTTATCTTTGAAATCTCGCTCTCCTTCTGTCTCACTCTCTCTCTCTCTCTCTATTTCTCTCTCTCTCTCTCTCTCTCTCTATTTCTCTCTCTCTCTCTCTCTCTCTCTCTCTAAATCTTTGTTTCTGTGTATTTGTGTTTCACTGTTGTATTCTCCCTATTCAAGGACGTGTTTCATCTTTGTACACTCTCTCCACAGATGTATTAAATCTTTGTACACTCTCTCCACAGATGTATTAAATCTTTGTACACTCTCTCCACAGATGTGTTACATCTCTGACCTCCCTTAACAAATGTGTTACATCTCTGACCTCTCTCCACAGATGTGTTACATCTCTGACCTCCCTTTACAAATGTGTTACATCTCTGACCTCTCTCCACAAATGTGTTACATCTCTGACCTCTCTTGACGAATGTGTTACATCTCTGGGCTATCTTCCGAAAAACGGTCCCGAATTATCGAGGCAGAAAATATACCCTAACAGGGCCTATGCACTTCTGGCGACTTAAATTGCGCCACTTCCAGCGACTTGCGCCACCGCAGAGAGTATCCGGCGTGGATTGGGGTCTACCTTGATGGTTGGGACTCACGAGCAGCAGCTACCGCATTTCCTGCAGCTGTCTTCAGTTTTTTTTTTTTTTTTGCTTGTGAGACCTAGCCATCTAGTTTAGCCCGAATGGGGGATACGCTAGGCGGTGGCGGGAGTCCCCGGAAGTTCGCAATTGACACGTGACTGAGGCCCTGTTAGGGTATATTTTCTGCCTCGATAATTTGGGATAGCCCATCTTTGTACTCTCACCACAGATGTATTACACCTGCGTACTCTCTCTCTCTCTCTCTCTCTCTCTCTCTCTCTCTCTCTCTCTCTCTCTCTCTCTCTCTCTCAATCTCCACAATTGTGTTATATCTTTGTACTCCCTTCACAGACGCGTTACAGGTTAGTACTCTCTCTCTCAATTATGTGTTACATTTGTGTACTCTCTCTCTCTCTCTCTCTCTCTCTCTCTCTCTCTCTCTCTCTCTCTCGCCCTTATGTGTTATATTTGTGTTACATCTTTGTTGTATCTCCACAGATGTGTTACATCTTTGTACTCCTGGTGCTGATTGGCTGGGGTCCGTTTGCCTTCCTGTGTACCACGGCCATGTTTGGAGGCTCTAGCGGCATGTCCATGCTGGCCGCATCCATCCCTCCACTGACCTGCAAGCTGATGGTCACCATGTACCCCGTGGTGTACGCGGTTGTGTCCCCTCGCTTCCGCCACAGCTTCATGTCCAGCCTCGGGCTTTCTGATCGCAAGCAAGACTAGACGACAGTCGTGTGATATCCAGCTTTGATGTTTCTGATGGGAAGCAATACTAGACGAAAGTCGTGTGATATCCAGCCTTGATGTTTCTGATCGGAAGCAATACTAGACGACAGTCGTGTGATATCTAGCCTTGATGTTTCTGATCGGAAGCAATACTAGACGACAGTCGTGTGATATCTAGCCTTGATGTTTCGGATCGCAAGCAAGACTAGACGACAGTCGTGTGATATCCAGCCTTGATGTTTCTGATGGAACTCGAGACTAGACGAAAGTCGTGTGGTATCCAGCTTTGATGTTTCTGATGGAACTCGAGACTAGACGAAAGTCGTGTGGTATCCAGCTTTGATGTTTCTGATGGAACTCGAGACTAGACGAAAGTCGTGTGGTATCCAGCTTTGATGTTTCTGATGGAACTCGAGACTAGACGAAAGTCGTGTGGTATCCAGGTTTGATGTTTCTGATCGCAGGCAAGACTAGATTTCAGACGTCTGGTGTCTAGCCTTGATCTTTCTGATCGCAAGCAAGACGAGACGCCAGCTGTGTGGCTGTGTTTTTCGCTGCCCACAATGGTTGTCTTTACATCCACTCCACGCCTTTTGTGCTGTGCGAATGTTCGCTTGATACAACGCACACTTGCCAAGTATCCATGGTATGTTAAATAGTGTTACAGTAACAAGTCACCATTCCCGCCCATCAGCAATAAGGACGCCGGAGACATGTTGAACGTCAAACAGAATTAATGTATTTCTAATTTCAACACCAAAACAATGAAAGGCATCACGAGAATAAAACGTTACACCGCCACAGTCATTCCTACTGGCAAGGCAACACACACTACGGACGCTCTGGGCTACTTCTACCGCCACCCTGTACGGTGGTCAACTACGAGCAAACATTACCTGCTCGTGCAAACTCACTGCTCGTGATGATGTGTCTACCTCTATGAAACCCATCCCTTGGGTACACTGTCATAGCAGAATCATACAGGCCGATGCACAGTACATTGTGAAACTTGTCGAGACCTTTCGTCTGCGGCCACACGAGCGTCTGTCACGCTGGCGCGACCGCTGTAACAACACTCACAGACAGCCCGTACCCTACCGCCAGCGTAACACAGTTATGCAGGACCAGCCTGGATCCATCCAGATTAGAACAGGCTTCCTACACAGCGTAGTAGAGTCCACCGTTACTCACTCTCTCTCTCTCTCTCTCTCTCTCTCTCTCTCTCTCTCTCTCTCTCTCTCTCTCTCTCTCTCTCTCTCTCTACATTACGTTCAATGTGTGCGCACCGCACCAAGTCCCACGTTCAACAATGAACTTCCCTTCCCATATATTGCACACAACACCTATACAAATGCTGAGTCACTCCAGAACATCAGTTTGTTTTGGAGTCTACGAGATCATTACACCATTGGTCAAGTATACGTCTGTTGGTCAAGTATACGTCTGTTGGTCAAGTATATGTCTGTTGGTCAAGTATACGTCTGTTGGTCAAGTATACGTCTGTTGGTCAAGTATACGTCTGTTGGTCAAGTATACGTCTGTTGGTCAAGTAAACGTCTGTTGGTCAAGTATACGTCTGTTGGTTAAGTATACGTCTGTTGGTCAAGTATACGTCTGTTGGTCAAGTATACGTCTGTTGGTCAAGTATACGTCTGTTGGTCAAGTATACGTCTGTTGGTCAAGTATACGTCTGTTGGTCAAGTATACGTCTGTTGGTCAAGTATACGTCTGTTGGTCAAGTATACGTCTGTTGGTCAAATATACGTCTGTTGGTCAAGTATACGTCTGTTGGTCAAGTATACGTCTGTTGGTCAAGTATACGTCTGTTGGTCAAGTAAACGTCTGTTGGTCAAGTTACGTCTGTTGGTCAAGTATACGTCTGTTGGTCAAGTATACGTCTGTTGGTCAAGTATACGTCTGTTGGTCAAGTATACGTCTGTTGGTCAAGTATACGTCTGTTGGTCAAGTATACGTCTGTTGGTCAAGTATACGTCTGTTGGTCAAGTATACGTCTGTTGGTCAAGTATACGTCTGTTGGTCAAGTATACGTCTGTACCCGTGTCACTGATCTTACAAATATCATCCTCCCAAGTATTCCAATTGTCAAATATATCATTGTTTAACTACATCACTGGTCAAATATTTCAGTGGCCAGCTAACTAAGTGGTCAAATATTTCAGTGGCCAGCTACCTAAGTGGTCAAATATTTCAGTGGCCAGCTAACTAAGTGGTCAAATATTTCAATGATTCAATATTCTTTCAAGAATCAATTACTTATCAAATAATAAATGAATCAAAAAATGAGTTGTCAAAGATTTTCTACGGTTATGTGTGTTTAATACATGGAGATATTTGACCATCCTCCAGCACGAGAAGTGAGGTTGGGCTGACCATGCGACATTCCGATGGGTGAAGAAAATCTCAGCCATACATGTTGTCATAGAATCATGTTCATCAAACTTGTTGTCATAGAATCATGTTCATCAAGCTTGCTGTCAAAGAATCATGTTCATCAAGCTTGCTGTCATAGAATCATGTTCATCAAGCTTGCTGTCATAGAATCATGTTCATCAAGCTTGCTGTCATAGAATCGTGTTCATCAAGCTTGTTATCATAGAATCATGTTCATCAAGCTTGCTGTCAAAGAATCATGTTCATCAAGCTTGCTGTCAAAGAATCATGTTCATCAAGCTTGTTGTCATAGAATCATGTTCATCAAGCTTGCTGTCATAGAATCATGTTCATCAAGCTTGCTGTCATAGAATCATGTTCATCAAGCTTGCTGTCATAGAATCATGTTCATCAAGCTTGTTGTCATAGAATCATGTTCATCAAGCTTGTTGTCATAGAATCATGTTCATCAAGCTTGCTGTCATAGAATCATGTTCATCAAGCTTGCTGTCATAGAATCATGTTCATCAAGCTTGCTGTCATAGAATCATGTTCATCAAGCTTGCTGTCATAGAATCATGTTCATCAAGCTTGCTGTCATAGAATCATGTTCATCAAGCTTGTTGTCATAGAATCATGTTCATCAAGCTTGCTGTCATAGAATCATGTTCATCAAGCTTGCTGTCATAGAATCATGTTCATCAAGCTTGCTGTCATAGAATCATGTTCATCAAGCTTGCTGTCATAGAATCATGTTCATCAAGCTTGCTGTCATAGAATCATGTTCATCAAGCTTGCTGTCATAGAATCATGTTCATCAAGCTTGCTGTCATAGAATCATGTTCATCAAGCTTGTTGTCATAGAATCATGTTCATCAAGCTTGTTGTCATAGAATCATGTTCATCAAGCTTGCTGTCATAGAATCATGTTCATCAAGCTTGCTGTCATAGAATCATGTTCATCAAGCTTGCTGTCATAGAATCATGTTCATCAAGCTTGCTGTCATAGAATCATGTTCATCAATCTTGCTGTCATAGAATCATGTTCATCAAGCTTGCTGTCATAGAATCATGTTCATCAAGCAAGCTCAGGAAGGTCGTGTCTGATTGTCTTCGTATGCAAAAGTCGCATCAGTCCGGCGGTCGCAAGTGGTGAGAGTCAATGTAGACGTGTTGGAGAATGAGCAAGCAGATAGGTAGGCTGGAGTAGTCCCAATTGGGGAGGTACTACTAATCTCTCGCTTGTCGGACAAGGTCACCAGAAAAATAGAAGATATTGAAAACCCATACCCAGAGAGACTGATGCAGCGGTGAATATTTGTAGGCGCTAGGCGCCACCTGAGACGGGGAGCGAAGTGAGGGCGGGGGGCAGACGAGTATTTAACCAGATGACGTGTATTATCAGTATGAAAAGGAAAAAAAAAAAGTAGTCAGGAGATATGAACCAGCGTCATTGCACACGGTTATAAACCATAAGTGCTCTGCCACCAGTACGTACAGCTGATAACAAACTGTCCGCCTGTGTCGCTGTACGCACGTAGCTCCCTAGCTAAAGCGATGTTCCTTTATTCACCCCAGAGTGTCAACTCTGGTACCCATTTCCTAGAGGCTGGGTGAACCCCGGGAACCGCCCGGTTTCGAACCCCGCCGTGGCTGCAGATCAGTATGAAAACTATTCACTAGCTGTTGATGAGAGAGACTGAGTTATTGTGGACGTGTCCTGAATTCTGAGATGTCTTGACCTCATGCAGATGATCCAGATTATGATGTTTGATGGCTGAAAAGTTTAGGATTAAATGTATTTCAATTAATTAGGTTTATTCTTAAATGTATTTTCCATTGTTTAAGTACCTGACTAAATGTTTTTTTTTTTTTTTATTGCTTCCGTTTAGGATTAAATTATGTTTCATTAAGTATACAATTACATTTGTTCAAATAATGCAAACAGATACAATACATTGTAAATTCTATTGCCTGGCATATTTCGCTGTATCTCGTGTTTTGCTACAAAGTTAAATCAACATATAACGAAGCACAAAATAAACCCTTTCCTTAAAAAATAAACTACAATGTCGAATTGCTATTCATCTATTCGCCGGAAATTTAAAGTCAGTCATGTGGTTGCCATGGTAAGTATAGTTTGACATGTGTGTCTCTGTGTGACATGGTTGTCTTTGTATGACATGGTTGTCTTTGTATGACATGGTTGTCTTTGTATGACATGGTTGTCTTTGTATGACATGGTTGTCTTTGTATGACATGTGTGTCTCTGTATGACATGTGTGTCTCTGTATGACATGGTTGTCTTTGTATGACATGGGTGTCTCTGTATGACATGGGTGTCTTTGTATGACATGTGTCTCTGTAATACGTGTGTGTCTCTGTATGACATGTGTGTCTCTGTAATACGTGGGTGTCACTGTATGACATCTGTGTCTCTGTAATACGTGGGTGTCTCTGTATCACATGGGTGTCTCTGTAATACGTGTGTGTCTCTGTATCACATGGGTGTCTCTGTAATACGTGTGTGTCTCTGTATGACATGTGTGTCTCTGTAATACGTGTGTGTCTCTGTATGACATGTGTGTCTCTGTAATACGTGTGTG